CGATCATCGCGGAGTCAGACACAGAGCGAATGGAGATCATCCACGAGTACTCTCTGGCACCACGGAACGACCGCGTCGTGGGCGAGCGGGATCAGATACAGGTGGTCAAGCCAAACGACGTGGAAGATATCGTCGTCGCCACTCCCAGCTCGCAGAGCGTGGTTGGAATGGGAGGTGTCGTTCACGACACTAGCCTCAACAGCACGAGCGAGCTGGCCAGCTACTCGGTCACCCTCGGATTGAGGGATGAGCAGAACCGGTACATAGCAGAAATCGCGGCAGTGGCAACGGCGCTGGCCGGCTGGACTGCGTCGCCGAGATTTGACGATCATGACGAGCAACTGCTCGGCATTGGAGGTAATCAGGCGGGCACGCCAACAGTCTGGCCAGTGCACAATCCTACAGATATACGACGCATCGATGCAACAGAATCCGGGTGGCGAAAAATATGCCTGTCAAACGATTGTCTACATCTTTTCGAACCCGGCACCAGATGCCCTCATTATGCAGCTGACCAACCACTGCTTGAATGCTGCTCCGGCCTTGGTGTAGGTCCCTTCTCGTCGCCGCAATCCGATTGTAAATGTCTCGTTGGCTGGCAAGGTATTCGAATGGTTATGAAGGTATGTTATGATATCCCGAGGACTACCAGACGCCACAAGATCTGAAATATTTGTAGCGTCGCGCTCTTCGAGTCGGCGATGCACTGGGCGCGCCGACGGGTCCCCGCTTGGTGAGTGGTTGTGCTCAGCGCACTCCTTGTCTGGTCGATGGCTGAGAGTCCAAGTGTGTCCATCTAGTGACTCTTTAGCTAATATTGAGAACTTGTAACCCGTTTTGCGACTAGAGGTTTGGCGTGCTCGTTCGACTGTGTCTTCGGTGGCAGTCTGTTCCGGTCGCAGGCGTACACTATTTTACCCTCCCATTTGGAGTCTTCTGGAGGCGGTGATGGTGTCGGGAAGAAAGACAGACATCAGATATGTGTCAATTGCAGCGAGCGCGTTCCACTTTTGCCTGCGTGGCGCAATGGTCTTCGCAACAGATGGCCGAGCGGATTTCCTTTGCGATGGAAACGTTTGGGCTGTTGCCTACTAACCGCTTTGGAGCCAGGAAGAGGGGTTTCGCAGAGCAGGCTCTCGTGCTCCTGCAAGAGATCTGGATGGGTCGATCGTCGTCGAAGAAGCAGGCCTCAGGAGCTCCCACGTCAAGGCATATCAGCACCGTGGAGAGCTCCTGCTAGGCCTGTACCTGTACGACTACGTATCGCTCGTCAGACTCAAACGCGATAGCAACGACGGGAGCTGTGCAGGTTGGGGAGAGGCCCCTGTCGAGGATGGGCGGCCGCCAGGAAGACGTTGGGTTCAGGTGCTCAGGCGGCCGGGAAAGCAGGCCACCGTCTGCCTTGACGGCGACCTGAGCAGGGACTTTGCCCACGACGATGAGGATTCGTGTCGTCGGGGGATTATGCGGAAACCGTTTCGCCGGCGGATATGGGAGATCCCAATTTTTTTTTCACCATTGAAAGGCAGCCGTGCAGCAACTTGCGCTATTTGTACCATGGGAGCTCTTCCTGTGCGAAGAAATGGGCGACATCAACAGCATCTGGGCGCGGGCGCGAAAGGCGCTGGCTCCGAGAATATCATGTCTCATCAATAACGTGCAACTGCTTCGACGACCAGCCGAAGACGCAGAACGCGACGCCAAGAGATGGGCATCCACCTCCGGAGATGGCTATCCGACGGTCGGACACGTGGGGAGGGACGATGCGGGCGCAGAATCTACAGTGACGTATCAGTCTATCAGCATCGGAAACGCAACGCGGCTGATCGACGTTGTCCGAGGTGCAGTGGACTCGAATCAGATGGCGGCTAAGTCGCCGGAGCTCATGGCGATGATGCAACAGCTCTGTCGGTTCCAACAATCCGTGCTGCGCTCGACGGCCGAGCTGGAGGCCGCCTGGTAACCCGAACGAGGGGCGAGACGGATAAATATGTAGGGGCGTGATGGTAGGCACCTATGTGCCTACAGATACGCATGCGCACAAGCTGTAGGCTGAGTCACAGTCACGACAGGTAGGGTAACCGGTGATGACTTCAATTGTAACTAACTAGGGAAGAGGAAGCTATTCACAAGAAACGGAATGTGCACCCGGTAATGGGGGCATGCAGCCGGGGCTGCGTGCCCTGATCGCGGGGTAGGGTGTCACGTGGGAGTCGTGCATGAACCGTGATGGTATCCCGATTGCACGGGTTACTCAGCAGGTTAGTATTCCAACAGGGCGGGTATTTTCCGGGGCCGCACTACCACCGCAAAATCAGGTCAGGGCCATCAAGTCGCAGCAGATGAGTGCTTCGAAGGAGAGGGAGAGGATCATCCAAAGCATACCGGTACAAGATATAACCGTGGTCCGGGAAAGCGACCGCCGCGCTGCATCGCGGAGAGTCATGGCCGGCCACGGGGAGGACGATGTCGAAATGGCGACGGCCGGCTTCGATGAGACCTGAGACCCCAGATGTGTCCTGGGACCATGTGTGTCCTGTCCTGGGATCCAATTGTGTCCTGGGACCGTGTGTGTCCTGGGATCCCTGGGACCATGTATGTCCTGGGATCCATTTGTATCCTTGGGACCGTGTGTGTCGTGTCCTGGGACCGTGTGTGTCCTGGGACCGTGTGTGTCCTGGGACCGTGTGTGTCCTGGGACCGTGTGTGTCCTGGGACCGTGTATGTCCTGGGACCGTGTGTGTCCTGGGACCATGTGTGTCCTGGGACCGTGTGTGTCCTGGGACCGTTGTGTGTCCTGGGACCGTGTGTGTCCTGGGACCGTGTGTGTCCTGGGACCGTGTATGTCCTGGGACCGTGTGTGTCCTGGGACCATGTGTGTCCTGGGACCGTGTGTGTCCTGGGACCGTGTGTGTCCTGGGACCATGTGTGTCCTGGGACTATGTGTGACCCCGAATGCTATAGCACCTGCCGTCAGTCATGCGGTGTGTGTGTCCTGGGACCATGTGTGTCCTGGGACCGTGTGTGTCCTGGGACCATGTGTGTCCTGGGACTATGTGTGACCCCGAATGCTATAGCACCTGCCGTCAGTCATGCGGTGTGTCCTGGGACCGTGTATGTCCTGGGACCATGTGTGTCCTGGGACCGTGTGTGTCCTGGGACCGTGTATGTCCTGGGACCGTGTGTGTCCTGGGACCGTGTGTGTCCTGGGACCGTTGTGTGTCCTGGGACCGTGTGTGTCCTGGGACCGTGTATGTCCTGGGACTATGTGTGACCCCGAATGCTATAGCACCTGCCGTCAGTCATGCGGTGTGTCCTGGGACCGTGTATGTCCTGGGACCATGTGTGTCCTGGGACCGTGTGTGTCCTGGGACCGTGTATGTCCTGGGACCGTGTGTGTCCTGGGACCGTGTGTGTCCTGGGACCGTGTGTGACCCCGAATGCTACAGCACCTGCGGTCAGTCATGCGGATCGTGCGACTGAGCCAGGTCTGAGTTGTGGGATCTGAGCGGCAGGCTATTACTGCATAACATCGCCCAGAGAGCTTTGAGAAGCAGAGCTTTCTCATAACCTGTGACCAAGCTGTGCTGGCGGTGGATGGTGGCATCCGTCAAGGCCCTAACCGGTTAGGATTGAAGTTGCAAACATTGCCCTGACCCCGTTGCGAATTATGGGCAGGCTCCGCCCAGGGTTGCAAGCCAGATTCACTGCACAAACCCTGATTCTGCTAGGGTCAGCCTCGCACAAGGTTAAAGTCTGCACGCCCCCCCCCCTTTTCGGGTGGCATGCATAGATAGCATGTCCGAGCCCCCTTAGCCGTCCTGTACGCGATTTTTATTATCCCTGTACCTAGACCGTATGAAGCAAGGGGAAGGTAACTTACGTTGGGCACAGAAAACGCGGGGTGTCGCTCCTAGACCCTTCCCCGATCATGGGTGCCCGTGACCGTACCCGCGGGCGATTCTGGCTTCACAACAGTGCAACAGCTCATTAGTGGGGGACATTCTGTCCAATCATTGCTCAATCGTCACATACAGTATTGTCCATATGACTTGCTGTGTCAGGAGCTGAGACGCCGTTGATTCAATCATAACATGAGCGTGTCAATGGCCAGCTACAAGGGTGCGGGCGCCTGGCCTCCCGCCGACGGCTGTGCGGATGGGGGCAATGTAGAGATGATAGTGACGGGGTACTGTAAAGTATAACAGAAGATGAGAAGAGGAAGGAAATGAAGGCGGGCGACGCGGGGTCTCGGAGTCGTTGGTGAGAAAGTGACCAAGAGCCAGAATCCACCTTGCCAGACCGCGTCCGCTTCGAGATGCATTTCAAGAACTCTACTTTTAGGTACATGCACACCAACAGCGATGCTGTCCTGGCGCGGCGGGCAAACGGACGAAATCGGCATCCAGTTCCGCGTTGCTCCAAATATCGCTGTTGGTTCTCAATGTGAGGAAGGTTGTGGACGTGTTGCTGCAGGTTGGTTGACGGCTTATGCACGACAGCTCCACATGCGTCCGGGGTAGAACAGCCACAATAGGACGAAGGGGTGGGATGTTGCTTCCAACTGTTCCCTGGCCGGCATGGGTGGTGTGAGTCATGCGGCCTTGCAGATGCAGACCGTAGCTCCGCCACATTCTACTCTCCTCTACAGTAGTGGACGAGTGTACAGTACTAGGGGGGCCGTAAAGTTCGCAACTTTACGGCCCCCCTACCCGTGCCACGCCCCACTTAATCTCGCGTTCGTTCCTCACCAGCTCCATAAGCTGGTGCAGGGATTGCGCGAGAGACTCGACGCTCCTCGACGTTCTACTATAGTTCTTCATATTTCTTTACTCTGGGGTAGGTGTGGCTCTTGATTGCCATCATGGCAGAGCCTGAAATGGCGCCTCCGGCCGACGTGGGGGCGGGGCTGGATCCAACTAGCCCGTCGCCATTGACGCGTCCGACGCGAGGGATGACGCCCAGCGCACGAGTGCAGGATACGTTACGAACGCTGGAAAATGCGACCGCGAGCTCCCAAGCGTGTCTCGACCCGAACGACGCGAGTCATATCGGTGGGCAACGAAAGCGAAAGAGGCGACGAGGTGAAGTCACGCAGCAATGCGGAGACCGCCAAATCGATGATGCAGAGGGTTCTAGAGATGCTGGCGAAGATGGGAAGTGAGATGGTGGAGCTGAAACATCGAGTATCCGAGCAAAGCGACACGATCAGGAAGCTGAGCGCCACGGTTTACAAGCAAAGCACTATCATTCAGGGACAGGAAGATCTGATCCGAGGCTTGGAAGCCCAGGTCCAGGAATCCAAGGAAGAGTTTCGACGTAAGAGCGAAGAGCACGACAAGGAAATGAAACAGGAGCACCGGGATCTTAAGAGAGATTGGTTGGAGTGAAAGAGCAGCTACACCAGCTGATGCAAAAGCTGGATGTATCGGGCGAGGTGACTTTGCCAAGCGGCCCTCGAACAACGTTTGCGGACGTCGCGCGCGCCCTGCCAAACCGCCCGCCCTCCAGTACACGCAGCATACCTGGTCCAACCAAACAGCAGACAACCAACGAGTCTGTCCATTGTACCATTGACACGTCTCGTGTAAGTGAGTCGAACAGGAACAAAGCGCAAATCGGGCAGATACGACAGGCCATCGAGGTTGAGATGAGAGCGAAGAACGGACATGAGACCTGGAGGTGCGCAGCAGTTGTGAGAGAATCCCGGAACGCCGACCGAGTCAAGATCGTCTGCAGAGACGAAGCCGAGCTTCAGCTGGTCAAAGAGGCGGCGCAGAAGACAGCCGTGGAGGGAGCGCGAGTCATGAGAGACCAGCTGTATCCGGTCCGGGTCGACAATGCCAACCGGACAGCTATCCTCGACACGGAGGGCAATGTCCTGCCCGGAGCGATCGAAGCCTTGAGTGCGGAAAACAGAGTGACCATTGGCAAGATTTCCTGGCTGAGCAAACGAGAGTCTGGTAAAGCCTACGGATCCATGGTAGTATACGTCACCAAGAAAAGCGATGCAGAAAGGCTTCTGGACGGTTACTACTTTGACCTAGCGGGAGAGTCGGCCACCACTTATACGTTCGAGCCAAGAACGGGACCGATCCAATGCTTCAATTGCCAGGAGATCGGTCACAAAGCATATTCATGCAAGAAGCAGCGGACATGCGGCAAGTGCGCAAACGCTGGGCATCACCACCGAGAGTGCACAGCGATTGAGCCAAAATGCGTCCCGTGCGGCGGACCGCATGAGTCGTTTAGCTGGAAGTGCAGGATGAGGAACCCGAGCAGCGATGCTTGAGTCCCTCCGCATCCTACAGCTGAATGCACACAAGAGTGATGTGGTGCAGCAGAGTCTGATGAACGACGAAGACCTGAAGGATTTTGTCGCACTGGCTATATCTGAGCCACATGCGCGCAATATCGACGGAAAGGTGGTGACGAGTCCTATGGGACATCGTAACTGGACAAAGATGATTCCGACGTGTGTTCGTGACGCCTCATGGCCGATCCGCAGCATGCTCTGGATCCGAAGTGACCTTGAGGCAGAGCAAGTATCCGTGCCGTCGGCTGACCTTACAGTAGCGATAGTTCGACTCGAGAGGAGGGAGGTGATGGTGGTGTCAGTGTATGTGGAAGGGAAGAACGACGAGGCGCTGGCGAGCGCGATGGAGGTGTTGCGCGACGTGATCGATCGCTTCCGCAATGGAACAGGAAACCGCACAGATATGGTTCTGGCGGGGGACTTCAATCGCCACGATCTCCTCTGGGGCGGAGATGAGGTGTCAGCGAGAAGACAAGGGGAAGGTCAGCCCATCGTTGACCTGATGGACGACGTTGGTCTCTGCAGCCTTCTCCCGAGAGGGACGAAAACGTGGCAGGGGCCGGACAAGGAGAGCACCATCGACCTGGTGCTGGCATCGGCAGAACTGGCAGACGAGGTGATATCCTGCGTGATTCACCCGACAGAGCACGGATCAGACCACAGAGCGATCCAGACGACCTTTGACATTCAAGTACCGGAGCGAATGTTTCCGCAGCGCCTGCTGCTCAGGAACGCGCCGTGGGTCGCCATCGCAGCCAGGGTCGAGGACGAGCTTCGACCTCTTCCGTGGAACGTGGGGGTGCAGACGCAGGCGGATCAGCTCATGCGGGTGGTCACCAAGGTGCTGCACGATCTGACACCCCGGGCACAGCCGCCGCCTTACGCGAAACGATGGTGGACGAAGGACCCCTTACACGACTGCGGCGGACATACACGTACTGGCGCAATCAAGCGAGGGCACAGCGACGAGCCGGCCAGTCACGGCCGGATCTGGAGCAACGCGCCAAGGAGGCTGCCAAGGAGTACCACGACAACTTGCGGAGACAGAAAAAGGCCCATTGGGATGACTTCGTCACGGACGAGAGCAACATCTGGAAGGCAGTCAAGTATGTGAAGTCTGGTACGGAGATGACAGATGACAAGGTGCCGCCGTTGAAGAGAGCCGACGGCTCGATCACCGAAGGCAAGGGCGAGCAAGCAGAGGAGCTCCTGAGCACCTTCTTCCCGCCTCTGCCAACGAGGATCGAACCGGAGGGTGAACGTCCGCAAAGAGAAGAGATAGCCATGCCGGACCTCACCTTGCAAGAGATTGAGGATAAGGTGATGGCGGCGAAGCCTTGGAAAGCGCCTGGGGAGGACGGTCTTCCTGCGATGGTTTGGAAGAAGCTCTGGCACGTGGTCAAGGTCCGGGTGTGGACGCTTTTCGACTCATCGCTCCGAGAGGGCGTGGTGCCTCATCAATGGCGAACGGCCAAGATCATTCCCTTGAGGAAACCTGGTAAAGGAGATTATACCTTGGCCAAGGCGTGGCGACCGATCTCTCTTCTGTCGACCCTTGGCAAGATTCTGGAAGCAGTCGTAGCAGAACGCATCAGCTACGCAGTTGAGGCCCATGGGCTTTTGCCCGCGAACCACTTCGGCGCTAGGAAACGTAGATCGGCAGACCAAGCACTAGTGCTTCTGCAGGAGCGGATCTACAAGGCGTGGAGAATGGGCAGAGTGCTAAGCCTCATCAGCTTTGACGTTAAAGGGGCATACAATGGAGTTTGCAAAGAGCGGCTGCTTGACAGGATGAGAGCAAGGGCATCCCGGACAGATTGGTCGTCTGGATGGACGCATTCTGCTCGGAACGGACCGCGTCGGTGGTTGTCAACGGGCACACATCCGAGCACCAAGCCCTGCCGCAGGCCGGTCTACCACAGGATCGCCACTGTCGCCAGTGGCTTTTCTTTCTTCAACGCGGACCTGGTGCAAAGACGGATCAGTAACAACGGTGGGTCCATCGCCTTTGTGGACGATTACTCTGCCTGGGTCACGGGACCAACGGCAGAGTCGAACAGAGATGGTATTCAGTCGATTATCGAGGATGCGCTCGATTGGGAGAAGCGCAGCGGCGCCACGTTTGAAGCGGATAAGACATCCGTCATCCACTTCACACGCATCGCGGAGCGCGACAGCGAATTGCCCTCACCATCAAAGGAAACGATATCAAGCCGAAGAAGAACGTGAAGCTCTTGGGAGTCATCATGGACAAAGCGCTTCGCTTCAAAGAGCACATCGCCAGTGCGGCCGCCAAGGGGCTGGCCGCGGCCATGTGCTTGAAACGACTGAAGATGGCCTCGCCACGGATGGCGAGGCAACTGTTCGTCGCGACCGTGGCGCCAACCATGGACTATGCTTCAAACGTGTGGTCGCACGCGTGCGGGGCGAAAGAAGCGTCGTGGATTGGCAGGGCCCAGCGAATTGGAGCCCAGGCAGTCACGGGAGGCTTCCGCACAGTTGCAACGGCAGTGGCCGAGGCCGAGGCCGGAGTGCAATCAGTTCGAGAACGGCACACTCAAGCAGCGACGAAATTCTGGATAAGGATGCGGACGCTCCCGAAGACGCATCCTCTGACATCGTTGAGGCTCAAGCTGAACAGGAGGTATGCTTCGCCAATGCAGAAGCTCGCCTCGGCGATGGGAAGAATAGACACCAAGCGCCTGGAAGTCATCCACGAGTTCGCACTGGCGCCGTGGAGGACCGAGTGCAGGTAACGGATAAGACAGACCGAGTGGAGGTGGTGAAGCCGGATTACTCGGAGGGCATCACTATCGCGACGTCCAGCTCTCAAAGGAAAGGCAAGGTCGGGTTGGGAGGCGTCGTTCGGGATGCTTCCCGCGACAGCGCAGACGGGTGCTGGCCAGCTACTCCGCCACTCGGCTCCAGTGATGAGCAGAATGCCTACACAGCAGGACTCGAGGCAATCGCCATGGCCCTGAGGTGTGTGCCTCTAGGTCTTCATGACCGAGAGCTCACAGTTGTGACAAGCAACCGCTCTGTCCTGCAAGTCATCGGGCGGCCACGGCAGCAGTCTGGTCAGTGCACGATACGGGCGATATACGGATCTGTTGAGTATCTGGCGAAAAGAGGCTGCAGAGTCAGACTTCGCTGGGTGCCTGCAAAGAATGAGGAGTTCACTCTAGGGCCACTGGCCAAAATGCAAGCGAAAAGAGCGACGCGAGATGAATGCATCGCTGAACCAGCAACGTTTCAGGCAAGAGCAACGACGTTACGACTGCTGCTCAACGAACACACTCGCGTTCGTCAGATCCCAGAAGGGGTTGGAAAGCACTCAAAGCGCATCGATAAAGCATTGCCGGGCAAGCACACCCGCAAGATGTACGACGAGCTAACTAGAAAGGAATCTGAAGTGTTGGTACAACTTCGAACTGGCAAATCACGACTGAATGGCTACCTTCGCAAAATCGGGGCAGAGGAATCGGATGAGTGCACCTGCGGACAGTCGGCGGAAACGGTGGAACATTTCCTCTTTCGATGCAGAAGATGGACGGTACAACGAGAAATCATGCTTCGATATGCTCGCGGAAAGATGGGAAACCTGTCTTTCTTCCTAGGAGGCAAGGCAGAGTCAGACGACGACAAGTGGCAGCCCGATATGGGGGCTGTACGGGCGACAATACAGTTCGCATTGGCAACAAAACGCTTCAGTATGGACCGTTAACGGGCCATGTACTGATCAAGGGATAATCATACTAACACAACAGCCTTAAACTTGGCAGACCGCGCTTCAGTCGCTGAAGGTAGGACGCTGAACACTTGGAGAAACTGACCTTCAAGTAGGCCTGTCATGTCACAGCGAACGAGGCTGGAAACAGATGAAAAGAAGCGTGGGGCTTCAGGTGCGATGGAACCAGGTACAGTAGGTACGTAGCTTAGCGTAGTACGGTGGGCGATAGGGGGGACTGTTGCAAAACCCCCTGTCCATCTCTTTTTGGTCTAGGCGATTTTCCCCCTAGTCATTTGAGTACTTCGAGTCGGCATTTAAAATGTACTGCGGACTAGCGGCGGGACCGCGCGTTGATCTTCTGGGAGTCCAACTGCCAGTCAAAGCAGTAATACTGTAAAGAGGTCAGTAGTCAACCTATCACCGCTGGCACATAAAGCTCACAGTGCAATTCTCGGAGCCCAGACTTGACCAAGTGACTGATTGTTTTCGGGTGGATCTGAGTGAGCGACACGTTTTTTCACCAAACAGTTCTCGTTTGCCATTGTCATGGAATCGGACAGCGACCGGGAGAAAGAACAGCGAAGTCGCCCAGCTTCCTACCCTAGATGCAGTGCTAGAAAACTTGCAAATGCCCACGCTATACAAACGAAAAATGCAAGCCGAATTAATGGCAACGCCGCCGGAATTGCCGAGGTATTTTTACAGCCCAATGGCCACCAGTCGGGGCCGAGTCGAAATCTCGACCTTCTGATTGCAGCCTCTGTTGCATTGTCCCTGCCGTGTTAGCAATGCGCAACGCCCCAAGCCAGCGGCGGCTTACTGCAGTTATTCGCAGCGGATTAGCAGCGGACTAGCACAGTTACCTCCTGCTTGAGTCTTTACTCTCTTCATTCAAGCACAATGGGCCATCCAAACCTCCCCCCAGAGCATCTCTATTGCATCCAAGCCGGAAAGAAACACTATGACCTCTTCACCACCATATATGTCGGCGCGAACTATTGTGGCCGGTGCGGCTTGGCCAACCCTTTTCGATCCCAGCATCTGGCAAGGTCAAATACACCAGCATTCCCAGGCCCACATGACGAGGTGAGCTGAGAAGAGCCCCGAGGAACGAAAGATTATGGCGTTGGAGACCATTGCCGAGGCTGCTCGGCTCTGGATTGTGAGCGGGATTAAGTCGTCAGATACATTTCCACTACTAACCCCATGCTCAGCAGCTCAATAAGCCGGACGAGGAGGACGATGAAGAGGAAGGCGAGGAGGAGGTGAACAATTGAGCGTTGATGTTGCCCAATTCGACCTCCACGGTGGCGGCAAATGCCTGTAGGGCGTGATAGAAATGCGCTCTGCTGGTCCGCTGCGTCCCCGCTGGTGTATTGGCACCTTCTGCTACGTGACAAAATTCAAAGAGATAAACGCTGAGGTACATGGAGCAGTGTACTGCGGGGCAGGATGTCCATGCCGCTAACCTATTTCGACACTTGGGTGACGGATTTTGGGGTTTTGCAACAGTCACCCCTATAGCCTGCCGTAGCGTAGTGGCTCTATGGGGGAACCCTCCGGGCGCAATACAAAAAAAAAAAAAAAAAGCTGGTGCTGGACACCGCAGTAGCCAGTACACCGCAATAGCCAGATTTTTCACCGTCCAACTTCAATCACCTACACTTCAACCAGATCACAATCCTTTGACTTGCAGAGATGGAAGCACGTATCCAAGAAGCTCTTCGATATATTGAGCATTTTTCTGGTGCGAAGGTGACCACGGTTGCTCGGCAATTCGGCGTACCACGCAATCGATTGCGATGCCGCCTTGAAGGCCGTCGTCCCAAAGCAGGCAGACCAGCCACGAATTTGAAGCTATCGCGACCAGAAGAGGCGGCTTTGTGTCGTTACATCGATCGCCTTGATAATATCAACCTTGCGGTACCCCCAGAGTTCGTCACCGATGCGGCAAATCACATCTTGCATCAGCGATCTGGTCAAGCCGATCTCGTTATTGGTAGCAGGTGGACTTCTCGCTTTCTCAAACGTCACGGCTACTTCAAGAAGCTTCAAAAGAAGCTCCACTCAGAGCGTCAAGCCTCCGAAGACCTCACCCGCGTCAATCAGTATTTCCAGAGCCTCCACAAGGTCATCCAAGAGAAGGGTATACCCTCTGAAGATATCTGGAATATGGACGAGACCGGATTTCGGATCGGAGTTGGCAAAGATCAATTGGTCGTCACTAAACGAAAGAGAGCCCATTATTTTGGTATCCCTGAGAACAGTGTTGAGACATGGACCAAGACATGTTTAGGCAGCACCTACAAGTGGTGAGTCACTGGATAGTGGCACGGACGTGCCGCTATGTATATATGTATGTTGAGAGCTGTCAGACAGAATAGAATAGAAGTAAGTTCAATCGCAACAGGTTATGAGCCCGGTTGCTTTTATTATGCTTCCACTGCACGATTGAACTCGGCATATGAGAACACTTTTTCGTCAAGAATCGACGGTTGACAGCAAAGACCCGGCACTATGGGCAAGAAAGACTACAAAGGAACCATCCTTGATGGAAGAGACTCCTTTGACAGCTGGAAGATGGATCTTGAAGATAACTTGTTGAGTGACGATCTTATGAGCTGCGTCACCGGTAAGGCAACAGCGGAATCGTCCGATTTATCAACGCCAGGAGAGAATGCTGCGGACATTAAAAATGTCTCTCTCGCGAGAATGAAAATACGACAGAGTATTGACCAGATCCACAAGAACTCAGTCAACCATCTCACCGATCCACGAGCAATTTATCAGTCCCTCGTTAAGCGATATGCGACATCGAACAAAGCGCGCCTTCGACAGCTGATCCGAATGCTATACGACGTTAGTACGCAGACGAATAGAACTGTGCAGGAGAAGGTCGACGACCTAAAGCGACTTCGAGCTCAGATTAATAGCCAAGACAAGGACATTGTTATCCATGAACAGCTATTGATTTGCTTCTTGCAAATGAGCATGGACGACGCTTTTAACACTACGGTCGAGATCTTGAACGCCTCGACAGAGACGTTGACAATGGAAAAGGTGCAGAGCTCTCTGGAAAGCAAAGAATTGGAGCTCGTCGATACGACAATCAAGGAGAAACCGCACAATTCGCAGGTCGTGGCCGCAGTGCATGGAACAAAGGGAACAACAGGTCCAAAGCACAGGATGGTGGCGATGATAGCAAGGAGGAGTATCTGAAGAAGGCAGGGGGGTGCTGGTCTTGTGGCGGTATGCATTTCAGGGCTCCTAATAGTGCAAACGGTTTACACTGATAGTGCACACTGGATCGTCAACGCCTGCCAAAAGCAATTAATATTGAATTTTAACTGGCGGAAATAGGATCTGGCCAATTGGATACTCTCTAGATTTGCTTTTGATCTGAGCTGATGGCTCAGTGTGCACTATCAGTGTAAACCGGTTGCACTATTAGGAGCCCTGATGCATTTCAAGCATGATTGTGCAATTTGGCACCAAACCAAAGCAGGGAAGACCTGGCTAGCCTCTGAAAAAGCGAAGGCGAGAGAGGCCATGGATAGCAAAGAAAAGGCAAACGCGGTCAGGATCCTTGAAGACAGTGGTAGTGAATCTGAGAGATCTACCTACTTGCTTCCGAACACAAAAGTAACAGCCCCTCCACAATGGTATCTCGACAGCTGTGCTTCCGTCCATATCACCCCAAGGGAAGACCAATTTATCTCAAAGTTGTCCCCTACAAAGACAAGTGTTGAGATTGCAGACGGCTCCGAGGTTCGTTCAAGAGGGAAAGGAGATGTGAGGATCTTTTACGTCTCACAGAAAGGAAGAGCAAGGTCGACAATAGTACGTGGGTGCACTACATCCCGGAGGCGACGAGCAGCCTGCTATCAGTCGGTGAACTGGAAGACAGGGAGCATGTATTGTCGTGGACTCTCCGGGAAGACAGTCACGGTGACAAGAAATCAGGAGGAGGTGCTGTTTGGCCACAGACATAAAAGGTGTGGCGCTTGAGCCAGACAAGAGGGCACTGAGCCCATACAATCCAAGAAAAGGATTGCGATAACGGGGTAGCGCTGAAGTCAATCCTGAAGATGCCTGAAAGACTACTACATGCTAGGCTGGGACACCCTGGAAAGCATATGGAGGGCAAACTGAACGCCGTAATGGATGATCTCGGAGACAACTCATTCTGCCCGTCATTCTGCTCAAGCTGCACCGAGGCCAAAATGACAAGAAAGGTCTCAAGGAGCCAATGTCTGCGGTGACAGAAAAGCTAGAGAGAGTCCATATAGATCTTTGGGGCCAGTTGAGCTATCACTTCAAGGAATGAAGTACATGCTGACAACCACCGATCAGGCTACCGGGCGAGTTTGGGTTTATTTCTCTAGAGACAAAACGAGAATTACCGACAAGATCAAAGCCTGGGTAGTTGTTGCAGAGGCAGAGTGTCGCGAGTACGGAAAAGGCGAAAAGGTCAAGGCGATGCGCTTTGATCGCGGAAAGGAGTTTCTAAACGAGGCAATGAAGGTATTTTGCACGGGGAGAGCTATTCGGACCGAACCAACAGTGGGCTACCACCCGGAGGGGAATAGTATCTCTGAGAGGAGCATGCGAACCATATCAGAGAGGGGGTCTGCTATGCGTCACGAAATGGACCTCCCGGCAGCATACTGGGAGTTTTCGAACGCAACAGCGGCCTATCTGAGAAATAGGGAGTTGTCAAGGAATGGCTAAAAGCCCATGGGGTTATGGCGTGGAGAAGCCAAGATCAGGGCACTTGAGAAACCAGTGAAGGGCTTCCTCGGGGCTGTTCACTTCGTCACCGGTAACAGGAGCGCGGAGATGCTCTTGCGGTAGGGCTTCTACAGCTTTGTCGAAGCCGGAGCGGACATCATCGGGGAGGCTGTCGCGGTACTGGATCTCCATCGCGTTCGCGTTCGCGTCGGACGAGATGCTGGATCTCCATTGAACCTGAACAACGCGATTCTTATTGCGACGCGCACCCTAGCAAGGGGCGATGAACGATTATTCCCGTTCAGGTTGTAGTCAAGGCGCGATGGCTTTTGACCCATGCTTAGCGCGATAATCCCTGCAATATGTCTGTCCGAACCTGTCTGTCCGGAGCCATCCTGCTGCTCTGGACCACAGCGAGATAGAGCAGATAGCTGCTAGATCAACCCTGCCTGCGATTGATTTGAACGAAACATCTTCATCAGAAACGCCCCCGTCAGGAAGCGAAGTCACGCCAACCAGTGACGATTCGGAAAACCCGATCATCGCCAGTCGCACAGCCGTGGGCATGAGTGCTGGGTTGGCTTCTGAGGTCGGCTGTGATAATTTGCTTGAATCTCCAGCGCTCGATATACCAACCTTATCTGCATCTGCGTTGGGCATGAAGGCGATAGAGACAATTTTGTTGGACTGTGTGAGACTCAACTACACGCTTGCCAGACAGAAGTGGCAACCCGACGAAAAGCTCGCCGTGATGACAAGTACTAAGGACATTAGGGGCTATGCTGAGGTCGGTCGGTCGGACTAGGGATACCTCTTATGGTCACCCCGAGCTCAAGATTCCAGACGTGCTTCGCGACAGTATTTTAGTCTCCCCTAGTAGTGACGCCTGACTCCCCTCCCTCCTCAATGCCCGGCTCTGGCGGATTTGGCCCAGTAATCTGATGCTGGATTGTGCCAAGTTTGCGCCGAAGCATGCACATCTCAACAGTGATTCCGGGTCCAAACGCGCAGGCGACAACATGCTCACGAGGGTGGCTGTCAGATGCCAAGTCGTCCATGTCCTTAGAGCGCAGGCGGTCCATGACACTGAAGATGCAAGCGGAGCTAGAGTTGCCGTGGTGGGTGTATACGTCAATGCTTGCACGCATGTGTTCCGCCGAAATCCCAAGGGCCTGCTCCGCACGAGAAAGGATCGATGCTCCTCCAGGGTGCATTGCCCAATCGAAGTCGCCGGCGAGCTGAGAACTGGTCGGCAGCTGCGGAAGGGAAGCTTTGAGGCGCTCAAAAGTAGGCGAGATTGCAGACTGAGCGAGCTGAGGGACTCGAGGAGTAATGACGGCTTTCCAACCTAAATCCAGTAAGCCTCAAATTTCCCATTAAAATTGCTTCAACGTCATACCCGAAGAATCAACATGGAATCCTAGGTCAGCTCCTGTTCCTGGAATGATCGAATGGTCCCATCCTAGGACTTCGTAAATCGCTGTTGATTGCTGACCAATACCGTTGCTTAACACGAGGGCGCTGGCGCCGTCAGAAAACAAACAAGGGCCTATTCTTGTCTCTTGTCGTTCGTTGATGCTGTCCAACTCGCTCCGCACCAAGAACGATGTGATCTCTAGTGCTAGGCATAAAACCCGAGCTGGTCGTCCCATGGCCGTAGATCCGAGAGCCAAGTTGGCACCAGTTCTTAGCGCAGCCAGACCACCACTGCAGCCTACTCCGTGAAGGAGAACCTTTTCCACAGCGTGGGTGATCCCAAGTTCTTGTGCCACAAAATAGTCAAACCCTGGATTTGCGCTGTCGGTACAAGTTGTTGACACTATGTGGGTTATCTGACTGATATCTATCTTGGCTTCGTAAATAGCCTTCCGTGCTGCTCTCACAGCGAGCGGTACGCCATCGGCAAGGAAGGTCTTATGTAGTTCGGAAATGATTGGTGTCCTTCCTTGGTTTATTAAAGGGTGGTCACACGAGAGTATTGCCGAACGAGATTTGATCCCGGTAGCTCTATTGATGGAGAGAACCCTCGTAAGACTGTCGGCATAGGTTAAGTGTGACCAGCAAGGGGCACATAGGATATCGTAGAGTATTATTACTTACGACGGGGACTTAGGATAGTGCCTCTTGCTAATTATATCGAGGGTGTTGGCTTTAAGAGAAAGGTCGGATATTGAGTGCCCAGCCCTATAACGGACAGATGCAATTCTCCAAACATATTTGAAGTATCACACGTAGGTGGGTGCAATGCATGAAGGTCTTGGTGCGTGTAAATTGCGCTGCTCCATCATTGAGGAAAGGCGTAGTGGCCCGGACCTTATATAGGCACCGGGCCTAACATGAAAACAGCTTTGTTCCTTGTCACCGCCGCTTGCGGCTGCTGTTTTCCTCTTATGGTCCCGCCCCCCTTGATGCGGCCCCCGAATAGCTACATCAACGCCGCCGCTTTTGTTCATGAGTATTAAGGTACCCGTGCCACGCCCCACTTTATTGGCACTCGGAAACTGTCGAAGGTCCGAACGACTTGACGTCTCTAGGTCTCTCTAGGTAATACAGCTTGAAACCAGGTAAGAAGGGAAGTCTGCAGACTGTTATTTCTTCTTCCTAGACCACTGAGGGGTCCGGAGGAGCTCCTATTCGAACGGGAACCCTTGCCTTGAGGAACGAAAGGATTTATGCCCCGCGCCGCCTCCCGACCTTTGCCTTGAGGAACGTGTTGCAAACTGGGCAGAATTACGGGCAGGATCCACCCCAGGTGTGCAGGGCCAGTGTTGAACTCTTTAAAGAGTTCATCAAAATGGTCTCTCAACCAAGTCGACCCCACAAACTCCTCCAACTCAGCAGCCGTGTGAATGTAGGCGTATTCTGTCGACAATGATATCCACTCACTCTTCCGAGTGAATAGCCTCACGGAAAGCTTGGGCTTCGCCATCTGATGCGCCGAGTTGACAGCGTTGTCTCCCCAGAGGACTAGGCGGTCATAAAATGCACCTGATGCCGTTCCATCGTGGGGCTTCCGAAGACTGGGAACAATCTCCCACGGGAAAGGCAACGTCCGCGTCAGGGAAGGATTGCAAACATTACAGCACTCGCCCGGTCCTGGAGCAGGTAACTTGGATGCGGGGTCTGACAAACTCTCTTGCAACCAATCCATGAGGATTCGGCGTAAGCATGAGGATCGATTGACAAGATTGAACAGCGCCGGGCAGCAATTGTACAACTCTATTCGGCGCTCTCTGTCTGTCTTGCGTCTGCGCTGCTCTCCTGGCAGGTCACATTCAATGACGCTCACAGCGATATCTGATTCATCGTCGGGAAGGTTACCGTCCACTACTGGTTCAGCAGAGAGTGAATGTGCTAACCCGGTCGTTGCGGAAAGCCTTCTCGAAGACGATGGCGTCTGACTGCTGGACAACATTGCCGCTCTTGTCGATGCGACCCTGTCGCCCACAGCCCAGCTTTCTACCAGGAAGATTGCCTCTCCTTGATGCTGGTCATTCTAGCTGCACGACCAAAGCGTTGGATAAGAACACATAAGAGGCGTTCGAGAGGAAGCCATACTGGACAACTCGTATGACATCCGAGAGATCTACCCCCGTTCCCAGCGATTCTGTGGCCACCATGATTCGGATCTTAGAGTCCGCTTTGGAAAACTCGTCGTATAGGGCATTCTTGTCATTCAGGGTGGTGTGGGAGTGGTAGACCTGGATAATTTGCTTGCAATCGCGGGTTCCGATTGCCCCAGCTGACAGTTTCTGCAGCCACTGGCGCAGGCATTCCGCACAATTTTGTATATCCCGACGGGAGTCTATGAAGATCACAGTTTTCGGAATGCTCTCCGGCGTTGGCGAGCCGTTGGTGATAGCGTCTTGCAGAACAAAGAGGGGCTAGGTATCAATCCACGGCGCCAGGATAAATTTCCACGGAAAGTGGATCAACGTGGCGTAGCGCCGTGGCGGAGGTCCGATGTCGCAAATTTATGTGCGCGCACTCCCAGCTACGGTCTACAGGAGACCGGCCCCTTGCAGGGTCCGCCAATGCCTTGAGGAACGGGACTGAAGCATTGGGTTTGGTTTGACACTGACAAGTCTGTTGAAAGGAAAGATGAGGCTTGCTCCCGATAGTGTGGCTGCTTGGACGCCGTTTTACCCCGCCACAACACGATAGGCTTACTAGGGGGGCCTCAAAGTCGGCCAATCCCCGTGACAGCTCCACAGTCACGGGGGGGCGGTTGACCTAGAAAAAGCTCGTTGACCTGGAAAAGAACAGGGTACTTCAATTAGTGTGCACGCATCATACAATAAAAGTAGACATGTTTAAGATCATATCTACCATAGTTACAATTCGACCCCGCATATACCCCTATGGCAATAATTCAGAACCCATTTCACGATGGCGTCATAACACTACATTTTTATCGCCACGTCACTATCTCAATAGTCATCGAGGGAAGGCCAATTCTTTGACTATGGCTTCTTCAAAAGCTAAAGAGTCTGCTGTCCAAAAATGGATCGATTCTGCCACCGGCTTACCCAACTTTTCGCGCCATACAACCGCAAACCTCGAGACGCGAACTATTGCAGGAGCAGAGCTCTACTACGAGGGCTTCTACGGCTCAATTGTGGCCGCGGCGAAGGCGCTTGGCGTACCCTACAAGCGCCTCTATTATCGAGTCAATGGGCATCACTCAACGGCCGAGAATGGGGCAACCGTGCCCTGCTTGATCCTCGGATGAAGAGGAGGTATTTTGCTGGGCACATCGCCGCATCACACAGGGCACCACATCCAGGGTCGTGCGCTCCAACAACACGCCAACGCCATTCTCAAGGCAAAGGGCGTGGGAGCTACAGCATCGCGAGCCTGGGCCAAGCGCTTTATACAGCGGCATAGAGAACTCTTCCACTGTCGAAGAGCAGCAGCGCGAGACATCAAACGGAAGGCTATGCAAGATCGCATCCACGTTGAGGCTTTTTTTCGCGGCTGGTCTCAAACGATCGAGAAAGACGAGATTCTCCCTAAGAACACCTGGAATTTCGACGAGACGGGCTTCATGGTGGGATATCTACATAAAGGCACATTTATTTGGACCTTCCGCGAGATTGATACCCTATTTTATCTGACGCTCACGATACAGTGTCGGTCACAGCGATTGAGGCTATTTCTGCAGCTGGGAGTTGCATTCCTTCGTTTGTGATACTCCTGGGGTTCAAATTCCTGCCCGTTGGGTTAGCAACAGCCTTGACGACGATACCATCATTTCAACCAGCCAAAGGGGTATATTAACGATGTCATCGCGATTGAATGGATCAAACACTTCGAGAAACACACGAGACCAGTTGATCCACTTCAGAAGCGGCTTCTACTATGGATAGCTGTGATAATCACTATACAGAAGAGATGGTTCACTTCTGCTTCGATCACAACATTAAGGTCTTCCCAATGCCTCCCCATCTTACACATCAGCTTCAACCTCTTGATGTCGGCGTTTTTAGGTCATACAAACACTGGCATCAACAAGTTCTACATCGTGAGATTGCTGACGGGGCATATGACTTTAACAAGTCCGATTTTCTATATCATCTTCAAGAGGTCCGCACTCGCACCTTCAAAAGCACACAATTCTCTCATCTTGGCAGAAATGTGGCCTCTTCCCATTCAATCCCGAGATCGTGCTTTCTCAGCTTCAAGACACGCTCTCGTCGCTCACAGAAGAAGTGGCTATTAAGGACCTGCCGGGCTCGATCGAAAGCGAGCCTCAGGGCGGGCCTCAGGCAGCAAGACCATCAACACCATCGCCACACACGCCGCCCTCGATTCAACGATTCAACTGGAACAATGTTTCAACGCCGAGACTCAACCTCTTTACGATTCAGAGGTATCACGCCTACGTACAGCTTCGTCTAGCCACATCAGTTGACTCCCACATGCCGTTGACTCCCTCCGTCACATACGTCTATGAGAAGGCGCGGAAAGCCGACAAAACCTCGCTCTCAACGGCATCACCGCAACGGCCGAGATGACGAAGATAAAGAGAAACAAGCCAAGCGCTCCAGTCTCCAGCAACAGACAACTATTGTAGCGAGATACGGCCCATTAAGCGTCGGTGACGCTAGAATTCGAGTCGCCGAGACGAATACAATAGACAAGCGGCACAAGAAGAGGAGGCACAGAGAGTCAGGAATAAGGAGGTTTGCGACGAAGCTGGCTATATACGCCGCTGGCTTCGCAAGGTACGCTTCAACGTCAGGATTAGCATCACAGAGGCGAGGATTCGAGATATCAGAGGTCTCTGGGCCAAGGGCGACAAGCGCGCACACCTCAATTGCAATGAGTGGATGTGCGCAAGCTACAGGATTCTCCGCGAGCTACACAACCGCGGCGTAGGGCAAAGCAAGGCGATCATGTGGCCGGAGTACTATGATCGCGAGATTGTAAAGGAAGCAGCCGAATTAGTGGTGATGGAGGCAAATAAGCGTGCTATTTGCCGTCAGACGCTTTCCTTGGAAGCTGACGGCATCGAGATGCGATGAAGAGGAATCATAAGACGCGCTCGAGGCTGGGAAGGAAGAAGAAATCGAATAGAGCTCAATTCGATGCCAAAACACCAAAAACACCTCAAAGGCAGTATGGTGATGCATTTGCATTGCTATGACTAGCTTGCAATAAAGCGAACATGTGTTGCACTTATCGCGGGAAGAGAGTACTTTTAAGTTCTAGCAAAATGGCGGGGCTCTTATGTACTTCTTTTTTTCCAGGTCAACGAGCTTTTTCTAGGTCAACCGCCCCCCCGTGACTGTGGAGCTGTCACGGGGATTGGCCGACTTTGAGGCCCCCCTAGTAGGGCGGGGTTACGGCAGCCTATAGGTGTCAGAACGGTGGTTCTGCGGCTCGGGCCTAATGAGGAAATATGTGGTATGTACGATGGATCAGGCTTAATGCAGCAGCTTGTGTGCAGCTGCAAAGAGGTTGTATTGATTGTGATGATCTGTGTTCTTTTTCTTCTTGAGGCCTCCTTGGAGGCCTCGTCCCTAAGGGGGAAATTGGCTGCCGGATTTGCCCGGTGTCTGCACGTGATGATGCACGTGATCCGACATGTGTTTCTACCCGTCAGTTCCGACACACCCCCCCAGCCGAGCCCTCTTCCATGTGGAAGAGTGGGAGGCTGGCCAATGACCATGTTCTTGCTCCCTGACTCATGGAGGAATCTCCCCTGCAGTCTACAGTGCCCGTAGGCAAAGGGCCCTTCTTTCTGGGCCGCTGCTATGTGCTGCCTTACACAACTTGGTCCTCCCACATCTTGTAAGATTGTTCTTGAAGTATTGAGTCGGTCGATTCGGGGAGCTCTCGTGACGCAAGGCGGTCGGAGATATCGTGGAGGCCGATTTGGTTGACAAAGGCTTGGAACTTGGGTCCTTGGAGGGCCTTGGTGAGACCGTCGGCCATCATCTCGGCGCTTGGTGTGTATTTGACTTCGAGGGTTCCGTTCGTGATTTCTTGGCGAAGCCAGTGGTTGTGAATGTCGACGTGCCGCAGCTTGGTTCGTAGCGTTGCCACCTCCGCGGTTACGATGCGTATTGTTTGCGTGTTGTCGCATTGGATGCTGATTCGAGAGTGGTCGAGTTTTACGTCAAGTTCTCGGATCAGGCGGCTCACGTATATCGATTCCTTTGCCGCTTGTGAGGGCAAGTAGCTCCGCCTCTGTGGTTGAAGTGGTGACAGTGTCTTGTTTGTTTGCTCGCCAGCCGATGAGGCCTCCAAATAGCTTCATTGCGAAAGCTTGAGAGCTCTTGCGGTCTGATGAGTTGTCGGCGAAAGAGGCATCGCTTGCCACTTCGAAATCGTCCCCACCCCAGGCGGAGCGCCAGTCCTTTGTCTGCTGCAGATAGCAGATCACGCGGTCGGCCGCTTCGTGATGTTTGGGTCCCGGGTTGGGGTTGAACTTTGATAGCTTTGAAGTTACAAACGCGATGTCTGGGCGCGTGATAACCGCAGCGTATAGCACGGAGCCTATTTTCACTTGGTACGAATTGATGTCAGCAAATGAAGCAATGCCGTTGAATGGGAAAAGTTCGTTGACCCCCATCGGGGTGTCAAAGCTCCTGTGTTTCTTCGCGAGGCGCGAGATCTTGTCGATGTATGAGGCTTGTGATAGCCAAATGAAGCCTTTCTCGCGGTCTCGAAGAATCTCGATGCCAAGAAACCACTGAAGGCTGTTACCACCTGTCAGCTGGTATTTCTCACGCATTTGTGCTTCCAGGGCTTGCGCCCTCGACTCGTTCTTTCGCTGATATGCGAAGACGATGTCGTCAACGTAGAAGAAAACGATGATTCCGTTGAGGGTGAGGCAGCAGGGCTCGTGTGGCACTGGCTTGAAGCCGAGCTTCTTGAGCGTGTTGGTGAGCTCTCGATGCCACAGCAATGGTGATTTCCTCAATCCGTAAAGGGCTTTGTTAAGCTTCAATACGGTCCCGTGTTTCCTATGGCCTGGTGGCATCTTCATGAAGACTTCCTCATCAGAGAGGCATTTACGAACGCGTTGACAGCGTCGTATTGGATCAGTTCGAGATCGAACCTTGCCGCCATCGCCATCAATGTGCGAAAGCTTCTTCCAGCAAGCGTGGCTGCGTAGGTTTCTTGCCCATTTCGGAGCTGTTGATCCCCTCGCACCACCAGTCTTGCCTTGCATTTTGAGAGCCTCCCATGCTTATCGAATTTGTATACGTAAACCCACATGCAGTCAAGCACTTGGGCCTTCTTCGGGAGCTCTGTAGAGCTCACCTGAACCAAGACTTCATGTCTTTATGGCTCTGAAGGTGTACTTCCTCTGCCTCCTCGAATTGATGTCCGAGAGGGTGGTCTCGCAGTTGGGAGTGGTGTTTCGGCACGTCTGGAAGGTCTCGGCGATGGATCTGTTTCTTCATGATCAGCCGTTCAAGATATGCTTTGTCTTTAATCTTGTGGCTCAGCTTGTCTTTTGCAAGTGGTCCTGCTTGTGTGCCTGCCATGAAGGCGGCATGCCAGTTGGCTGTGTGTTTACGCGAGGGAAGGATTCCTTGACCCTGCTGCTGAGAGGATTCCTCAAAGCGGTGTGGTTGTTGCGAGAGAGGGGTTCCCTCTGCTCGCTGCGAAGAGGGTTCCTCAACGCATGGGTATGGGTGCAAGAGAAGGGTTCCTTCTACTTGCCGTGAAGAGGGTTCCTCAACACGTGATTGTTGCAAGGGAAGGATTCCTTCGCCTTGCTGCGAAGAGGGTTCCTCAACGCAATGTGTTTGTGTGGGAAGGATTCCTTGCTCCACTGCTCCAAGCTTGAGGGTTCCTCGTTGCCGGGCATGATTTGCACTGTGCGTGGGAAGTGTTCCCAGCCAGGCGTGCTCGAGGGAAGATTCCCAATGTGAGCTTCCATCAATGTGCGAGGAAGGATTCCTTGACCCTGCTGATGGATGATTTCCGGGGCTCGTTGAGATCAACTCGCTTTTCAGGCAGATTTGTTTGTATTGATGCGGCAAGCAGGGCCGCCGGAGGAGTTGAAGGAGGCGTCGGTAGCAGCTCGAATCGGGCTTCTGTGTATCGACTTTCCTGACCTTCCGGGTCTTTCTCAGGCTCTGCTGTGTGCTCGTCATCGTCATCGTGGTCAAATTCGAAGATTTGCTCGTCAAGCGCCTGTGGGGCTGCTTTCGGGGCGATTTCGTCGTCTTCTGGAAGACTTATGTGTGTGAGGGCTAGAGCTAGCTCCTCGAGGTCTGCTTCCTTGACGTTTTGAGCGAGGCTCTCGAGTGTTCCATCGAAAATCTGTTGCTCGTCAAAAATAACGTCTCGGGTAGAGATCACTTTGCCTTCTGATGGTACCCAAATTCGGTATACGTTGGAGGACGTGTATCCCACAAGGTATCCTATCCAAGCCCGTGGGTCAAGTTTCTTGAGGCGATTCCTCTTGTCTTGGGTTGATGGAGTCATGGCAAAGGCTTTGCAGCCGTAAGCTCGGAGATGCTCTTGTGCGGGCTTTCTCCCTGTTAGATCTTCATATGGCGAAGTCCACTTAATTCTGCATTTTGGCGTGCGGTTGTTGAGGTAGACGGCAGATTTGTAAACTTCTCTCCACAGTTTCGAAGGAAGGTTGCCTCATTGCACGTGCCTTGTCTTTGATCACACCCCCTGAGCGCTCGGCACCTCCGTTTTGGTCTTGAGTGTAAGGGGCCGAGGGTTCGACTTTGAGGTTTCTTCCGAGCAGGAACTGTGTAACTGCCGGCTTTTGGCTCGTTAGTTCATTGTCGCATTCGATGACTTTGACCTTAAAGTCAAATTGGTACGTAAGGTAGTCGACAGCGTGTTTAAGGGTAGTGATGATGGTATCGGCTTTCCGATCTTGGAGGTAGTAGTCCCAAGAAAAGCCGCTTGCTCTATCGGTGAGAAGCATCAGGGAGTTAAATCCTTTCGAATCAGGCTGAAGGTCGTGAAAATCGATCGCCAGTCTCTCGCCTTTACAGTGGTCTGCAGTGCGAGGCTCTCGTCGAATCATCCGTTTTGCCTTTGCTGTCCCGCAATTGTCGCATTGCGCGGTGGTGATTCCCTTGATTCTAACTCCTCTGGAGCAGTTGACAAGGTGTTCTAGGGCCCTAGGTCCAGGGTGTCCTAGTCGCAGATGCCATACCTCGGCTGATGCCTTTTGAGGCTTCCGCTTGGTGAAGGAATTGAATGTGTTTCGGCGGGTGAAGAATGCCCGCCTCGAGAAATGTTGAGGAATATATTCAAGCACAAATTGACCATGGTGTCGTTCCACGAGGCCGACGATGCTTCGGTCAGGGGCGCGCAGGCTTGGTTTCCTGCTTGGGTCTTCATCCCACCAAATACCCTGTTTCTTAAGTAGCTGGTAAGAGACGAGGTTGCAAGCAAAATTCTCGCAGTAGGCGGCATCGAGCAGCCTAAGCACCTTTGATCCCATTGGAGTCTTGACCTGGATGTCAACGTCGCCGTATCCCTGGATAGGACCTTGTCCTTGTCGTTGTAGGTTGGGCCAAAGGCTCCTCTTCACCACGGTGGGTGTTGCAGGTAGGGTGTCGATGAATTCGGTGAATATGTTTGACATGGTATGCATGTCGAAACTTAGGTCTCTTGTTCTTCCAGATACTTGGACTGATGTCACCCACGCGGGGAACTGTGGCGAGATAGCCTTAAAGAAGTCGCGGATCCAAATTGAGTGGTGGAAAGCTTCTGGGAGGCCCTCCTGGATTCCTTCGTTCATGGCTTTCTTCCAGGTATCCAACCAGAGGTGCCAGTTTCGAGGGGCCTTCACAAGAGGCTTGACTGCTTCTTCGTAGTTGTTTTGTAGAGTACGGAGAACTTCTTCCTGTGATCCCTTGGCGTGTTTTTGCAGCTTTGCATACCACATGTTGACTTGATATGAGACATGGACCAAGACATGTTTAGGCAGCAGTTACAAGTGGTGAGTCACTGGATAGTGGCACGGACGTGCCACTATGTATATATGTATGTTGAGAGCTGTCAGACAGAATTGAATAGAAGCAAGTTCAATCGCTACAGGTTATGAGCCCGGTTGCTTTTATTATCCTTCCACTGCACGATTGAACTCGGCATATGAGAACACTTTTTCGTCAAGAATCGACGGTTGACAGCAAAGACCCGGCACTATGGGCAAGAAAGACTACAAAGGAACCATCCTTGATGGAAGAGACTCCTTTGACAGCTGGAAGATGGATCTTGAAGATAACTTGTTGAGTGACGATCTTATGAGCTGCGTCACCGGTAAGGCAACAGCGGAATCATCAGATTTATCAACGCCAGGAGAGAATGCTGCGGACATTAAAAATGTCTCTCTTGCGAGAATGAAAATACGACAGAGTATTGACCAGATCCACAAGAACTCAGTCAACCATCTCACCGATCCACGAGCAATTTATCAATCCCTCGTTAAGCGATATGCGACATCGAACAAAGCGCGCCTTCGACAGCTGATCCGAATGCTATACGACGTTAGTACGCAGACGAATAGAACTGTGCAGGAGAAGGTCGACGACCTAAAGCGACTTCGAGCTCAGATTAATAGCCAAGATGTCGGTAGGTCTCTACACAGGCCTGCGTGCAAATCGCAATGGTATGTGTAATCGTTGATGTCTGTTCTAGAAAGGGGGAAGAGGGGGCAAAGGGCACGGAGCTAGCTATGTGTCCTCCGCTATCCTCAACTGCACACGTGAGCGCACGTGACCTATCTAGATGGGTACAATGGATTACTACAATTCCCACACTGGCAACTTTTCTTTGTGGTTGCAATCGCTGTAACGAGCAGGAAAGAGAGGAGAGACCAGCTGCAGTGGTGGCAAAATGTCAACAGGCCCAAAAGTGGGGCCATAATGAAAAGAGGGAAAAGAGTGTATTGGGGTCAAAGAGGTGAACAGTCGAAGAAGATTTGGAAGACTTGTCGGTGACAGGAACTGTTTGATTGTGTATACCTTGAACGTAGCGCTGATGCTTGAACGTAGCGCTGGTGCTAATCAAATGCGTTGAGTCAACCGTTGTACTTGTGGTCATCGAGGTCTTTGGCTTGGCTCGAAATTGTGCTTCCTCGAGCTTTTCTTCTTTGTGGGCATATGGCTCCTCTAGGGACTACAGGCACATATTGTTATTTGCTCTTGTGTGCCGGCCGGTCCTCGAGGCTCCGTGTGCTGCGGGCTGGGGCTTGTTCTTTGATACGGCGGGCGTCCTCTCTTGGGGTGCGGGGTTTCATGCCGGTCTGGGGTTCTTCTTCTTCCTGGGTAGGGGTCTGAAGGATGTGGAACGTGATCCTTCCGACTGGTGTTTTGAGGGCGATGGAACCAATCGAGTGAGTGGCTTCGCCGTGTCCAAATGTGATGGTAGCCTGGCCGGAGGTTGAGCTGTCTAGGGCTACAGAGGGTCTTCTCGTTGTAGAGCAATGTACTGAGAGTGACCGGCTGTAGAGACTTTTGCTGCACCTGTGTCAATCATGATGCCTGGGAAATTGTCCACTGAATATTGATCTTCAATGACGAATTGCTAGGCGGGAACAATGGTTTGATCCGTCCGGTAGACTTCTCCATTGTCTAGGGTGATTGTTGGTGCCATTGTCAGGTTCTTCCCATATGTCGTCGGTAGTGAGTTCATCAAGCTCATGACCTTCGTAGTCTATAAGATAGGCTATGAAGTTTGGAGGTTGTATGCCTGTGAATTGACAACGTGCGACATATTGGTCCTTGGCCTCTTGTCGTTCTTCTGCAGAGTGTTTGGTTGACCAGCAACCTTCTTGTCCACAAACAAAGCACTTTTTGGTCCAATTGCGATTGGTGTGGCTAGGGGTGTAGTTGCTATGGCTTGAGGGCCTGTAGCTTCCACGGTTGTAGCCTTGTCCATATCCGCGATTGGGTCGTTGTCCTGAGTATCCGTATCTTCCTCGTACGCGGTTGTTATGGTATCGGCGATCGAGGTAGTACTGATTGTTCGGATTCGTTGGTCCAAATGATCCGTCAGGGCTTTGCAAGTACTGAGGGTTTGTCTGTCGGGCAAGGTGGGTCTCAACGGAAGATCGTAGATCTGCAAAGAGGGTCTCGATCTTTGCTGCAGGTTTGAAGAGGGCGTGTTCAAGTTCGGGTACACCACGGCATGCGATGATAAGCGTAGTACGCAGTGGAATGTTTCCTGCGTAGTCAGGGCCAAGGGCTCTCTGACAGAGTTGTAGCTTATCGAAGAGTAGTTGAAGGACTTCGTGGAGGGATTTGGAAGCATCTTGGGCACGAATCGAGTTGAAAGTGGTTGTGGTCCAATATGTATAGTAATGGACATGGTTAACTTCCGTGTCAAAGTGTTGTTTGATGCTGTCGTATGCCTTCCTAAACGTGGTAGTCCATTCGATCTTGTCAATGTAGAACGTTTGTGCTCTTCCAGCGAGGATTCGGGGGAAAAGGGCGTGAAATTGTGACGGTTTCACTTGGATGTTGTAGCAGATACTCATAAAGATTCGGATCTTGTCATCGAGGAGGTCGTACGGTTCTCCTGTGTAGTTCTTGTCTTTGTCCCAGAGTTTCATGAATTTCTGCTGTGTGTCGCCATCGACGGTGGCGTTCGGGATATCATCCGGTGGGAGTTTTGTGTATGCCTCGAGGACATAGGCTCGGATAATAGTTCGGGTTGGGGGTGTGGACGGGTTGGACGAGTTCGGGGTGCTTGAAGCGGTGTGTTGTCGGATGAACTGTAAGAGAGGTTGGGTCAAGGGCATCTTGGGTCGGAGCGGAAGTCGTGGGAGGTGATGTTGTTATCGGTAGTGCCTCAGTGATGGGTTCCTGGGCAGGTGGCTTCGTTAAGGTCTTAATGGGCTGTTGTTCGTTAAGATCGTAACGAGATGTTGCTACCGGCGGCGATTGGGGTCCTCGGGGAGAAGTTAGAGCCTTTGATCCTGCTGCTCGTAACTTATGAGCGATTGTCCCAATGTCAAAATCGGTCTCCATGTACTCTCGTTCTGGCCATGCAGGTCGGTCCTCCGCAGTTTGCAACATGATGAATTGGGGTGCAAAAGGGCCATTTTTCCGTCCTGTATAGATGCCACGTCTCCTTAGAAGTAATCTAAGGGCTCTCTTGTAGTCCATATGTACCCGGTTCCATATGTCTTGGTTCCAGCCTTCGAAGTGTTGTTGGAAGTGGTCAAGGATGTCGTCTCCTTCTAGGCGTTCGAATTGGGCATTGGACATGAACCTAGCGGCGTACGTCGTAACTGCGATCTCATCTTCCTCGTCAGGTTTGATGTCTTGTCCCCAAAGGGTAACATCAACTTTATCGAATACGGATGTCTGGATAGCTAGTCCTTGCATCCGTTCGCTCAATTGTTCGAGCTGAGCGCTCTCGTTCGGAGTCGTAGCTCGGTCGGTCGGGGTCATCGTTGATCAAGTGAATGAGACGATGGAGTCGTATCTGGCTGTCGAAATACGTCTTTGTCGGGTCTAGTAACAACTGTTGATCGATGCCTTGCAGCCGATAATAGAAGTCGCTAGGCGATGTGGTCGCACTACTAATCGATGCCTTGCAGCCGATTAATAGCTTGGTAGGTTCTCCCAGATGCCTGGCAGCCTGAGATAGCCACTTAGCACAAATAACCTTCCTCAACCGATGCCTTGCAGCCGATCTTGAAGGTTAGCGATTTGTCTCTTCTTCCTAGCTGTCTGTGATCGACCAAGTCGACCACTGATCAGTGTCGGTAGGTCTCTACACAGGCCTGCGTGCAAATCGCAATGGTATGTGTAATCGTTGATGTCTGTTCTAGAAAGGGGGAAGAGGGGGCAAAGGGCACGGAGCTAGCTATGTGTCCTCCGCTATCCTCAACTGCACACGTGAGAGCGCACGTGACCTATCTAGATGGGTACAATGGATTACTACAATTCCCACACAAGACAAGGACATTGTTATCCATGAACAGCTATTGATTTGCTTCTTGCAAATGAGCATGGACGACGCTTTTAACACTACGGTCGAGATCTTGAACGCCTCGACAGAGACGTTGACAATGGAAAAGGTGCAGAGCTCTCTGGAAAGCAAAGAGTTGGAGCTCGTCGATACGACAATCAAGGGAGAAACCGCACAATTCGCAGGTCGTGGCCGCAGTGCATGGAACAAAGGGAACAACAGGTCCAAAGCACAGGATGGTGGCGATAATAGCAAGGAGGAGGTGCTGTTTGGCCACAGACATAAAAAGGTGTGGCGCTTGAGCCAGACAAGAGGGCACCGAGCCCATACAATCCAAGAAAAGGATGGCGATAACGGGGTAGCGCTGAAGTCAATCCTGAAGATGCCTGAAAGACTACTACATGCTAGGCTGGGACACCCTGGAAAGCATATGGAGGGCAAACTGAACGCCGTAATGGATGATCTCGGAGACAACTCATTCTGCCCGTCATTCTGCTCAAGCTGCACCGAGGCCAAAATGACAAGAAAGGTCTCAAGGGAGCCAATGTCTGCGGTGACAGAAAAGCTAGAGAGAGTCCATATAGATCTTTGGGGGCCAGTTGAGCTATCACTTCAAGGAATGAAGTACATGCTGACAATCACCGATCAGGCTACCGGGCGAGTTTGGGTTTATTTCTCTAGAGACAAAACGAGAATTACCGACAAGATCAAAGCCTGGGTAGTTGTTGCAGAGGCAGAGTGTCGCGAGTACGGAAAAGGCGAAAAGGTCAAGGCGATGCGCTTTGATCGCGGGAAGGAGTTTCTAAACGAGGCAATGAAGGTATTTTGCACGGGGAGAGCTATTCGGATCGAACCAACAGTGGGCTACCACCCGGAGGAATAGTATCTCTGAGAGGAGCATGAGAACCATATCAGAGAGGGGTCTGCTATGCGCCACGAAATGGATCTCCCTGCAGCATACTGGGAGTTTTCGAACGCAACAGCGGCCTATCTGAGAAATAGGGAGTTGTCAAGGGAATGGCTAAAAGCCCATGGGAGTTATGGCGTGGAGAGAAGCCAAGATCAGGGCACTTGAGAGTGTTCGGATGTCCTGCCTGGGTATTTATTCCCAAAGAAAAGAGAACAAAGCTTCTGAAAAGAGCATGGCAAGGAGTTTTGTTGAATACAAAGAGGAGACAGATAAAATCTATCTAGTCTGGAACCCAGCTGATAAGAAGGTCCACGAGGTTCGATTCGTGGAATTCGATGAGAGCAAGTATATGGACAATGAAATCAGCCAAGAATCACAATCGCAGTATGACGATGAGAAGGAAGAGAAAAAGGAGCAAGGGAGCTCACTGATGATGACTCTGATGCCGAAGATTCGGTCAGGGATAGGACCATGGACCAGGAAGCTACAGAAGCTGGGGAGGATGCCGGAGAAGCAGCGGATGGGAACCCGACCGACCAAGACACTGCAGATTCGGAGGAAGAGCTCCAAGGAGACACAATCGTTGTCAATACAGGGGAGGCGGATATAACCTCTGCTGAAAGGAGTCTGCCGAAAACAAGATCCCAGATTCGACGAGAGGCCGTGGCACTCAAAAGAGCAGAGAAGCAGCGAGCAGAGCTGGAATGGCGGCAAAGAGAAGAACAGCGCATGGCAGAACGTCTGAAGAAGCGAGGAGAGTGGCAGGAAGGAAAGAGCCATGGTAGCAAGGACGCTTCTCCAGCCTAATACAGACCTGTACGACTTCGACCCGAAAAGCTTACCTTCCGACAGGCGATGGAAGGCAGTGAGAAGGATCAATGGGTAGGAGCTATAGATGAGGAAGTTCAGAATCTCGTTCGACGACAGACATTCTCGGAGGAAATCAACGAAGTTGACGTGCACGGAGAAGAAGTAGTTGATGCCAAGCTTGTGTTTGATCACAAGAAAGACAAAGAAGGGAAGATACTACGGTATAAAGCACGTCTAGTCGCGAGAGGTTCACACAGAAACACGGGATCAATTACGAGGAAACCTTCGCACCCACGATCCGGCTCGATGCGATGAGGATCATTCTAGCTTTAGCGGCGAAGAAAGGCTGGAAGGTATACCAGATGGATGCTGTGGCTGCGTTCCTTGCAGCAGACCTAAAGGAAAGGATCTTCATGAAAGTGCCAACTGAGCTCCAGCAATATTTCGGGAAATACGTTCAGATCCTGAAGAGTTTGTACGGATTGAAGCAAGCTGCAAGGATGTGGTATTTGCTAATATCAGAATATCTCAAGGAGATTGGTTTCTCACCGATGACAGTGGACCCGACAATATTCAGACATACAGAGTCGGGGTAATCATCGGCGTGCACGTGGATGACTTTATGATTACAGGGGACGAGGATGCCATTGAACTGGTCAAGGAAAAGCTGAAGGAAGATTTGAGATGAAAGACCTCGGAGAAGCAGAGAACATTCTCGGAATTCGGATTCAAAGGCACAAAGGAAAGCTGATGATTGGTCAATCACAATTTGCGAAGGAAATCGTGGCAGAATTTCTCTACGACGACTCAATGAAGCACGCAACCCCCATGGAACCTGGAGCTATACGGAAGCTCGTTGAGGAACCGGGACGGCCTCTGAACCATGACGAATGGTTGAAATACGTTGAATTGCTCGAAAGCTGATTTGGCTATGCAATACGAGGTTCGACATTATATTCGCAGTTAACAGAATGGCATCTTTCACGGTAGAGGCATGCTGGAACCACTGGAAGGCTTTGCTACGAATATTGGGTTATGTCGGCAGGACTATTCACCACGGTATCACATATGGCGGAAATAATGAGCACGCTCAAGGAGTCGAAGGCAGCGATATCGACTATTATTCCATTGACCACAACATCGAAGGGCACGTCGGCTCTGCAGGCCTACAAGATGGGGAAGCGTTCTCTGACACCGACTACGCTACTGATCCAAGGGACCGGAAGAGTATCCTGGGGTTCATCTTTATGGTCTACGGAGGCGCCGTCATGACGTATAGCAAGAAGATGAAATCAGTGGCAAGATCTACGACAGAAGCAGAGTATGTTGGGATGGGGGAGGCCACAAAAGCTGCTCTCTGGGGACGTCGACTACTTGCAGAGCTGGAAGGAAAGGGGGAGCAAACAGTGCCACTACTGCTTGGAGATAATAAGGAGCTGTACAGCTGACCCGAGGAGTATCGAACACGTCGAAAATCAAGCATGTTGATATAGCATTTCATCACGTCGTTGATGAGGTCAAGGAAGGAGAATTCAAGTCTACTGGGTTCCAGGAGAATATGCTAGCAGATGGGATGACCAAGCCTCTGCCTAGGGATGCTTTCGAGAGGAACAGGAGGAGGATTGGAATTGGACCCATACGCTATGAATAGCGTTGCAGTTGAAGTCTGACAGCTCTAGGGGAGTGTTGACTTGATATGAGACATGGACCAAGACATGTTTAGGCAGCAGTTACAAGTGGTGAGTCACTGGATAGTGGCACGGACGTGCCACTATGTATATATGTATGTTGAGAGCTGTCAGACAGAATTGAATAGAAGCAAGTTCAATCGCTACACCACACGCGCAAGGACTCATCGGGGTTGCAGCAGGTCTGATAGTATGTATGACATATCGTCTTTGAGATCCAGTCCCGAAGCTCGCGGAGTGAGTCTTCCTGTTTTTCGTATAGTCGAAAGTGATGGGTGTAGATTTGCCACTGTTGGGAGTATTCTTTCTGGGCCCTATCTCTCTCTGGGGCCGTCTGCAGCTCCGCAAAGTTTGGAGGCACTGGCTCGGCCGGGAACCTCTTGAGGAGCCCAGCGGCAGGGTCGTTGGCAATCCACAGCCAGAGCTTTCGGTCGCAGGCGTGAGCGTGGAACTTGTTGTTCCAGATGGACCAATCTTGCGGGTTGTTGAGCAAGACCTCCATCTTTTTCGTGTTGGTGTCCATCTTGCTTAGTGTTGGGTGTTTTATAGGTATATTTCGATCGCTATGTATTCGGGTTGTTGGTATTTCTCAAAGGGAGCCTTTTCGTAATGGATGGTTGGTAGCAAATAGAGATGTGAGACTCTTAATTGTCAGAACGGTGGTTCTGCGGCTCGGGCCTAATGAGGAAATATGTGGGTATGTACGATGGATCAAGGCTTAATGCAGCAGCTTGTGTGCAGCTGCAAAAGAGGTTGTATTGATTGTGATGATCTGTGTTCTTTTTTCTTCTTGAGGCCTCCTTGGAGGCCTCGTCCCTAAGGGGGGAAATTGGCTGCCGGATTTGCCCGGTGTCTGCACGTGATGATGCACGTGATCCGACATGTGTTTCTACCCGTCAGTTCCGACAATTGCACACCTTTCCATATAACGTACCTCACTGAGTCATGCAACGCGTGTCATGCAACAAATTGCCCGACCGGCAAGCCAGAGCGAAAATTAATCCTGCAACCGACACAACCATTTAAAATACTATTAAACATTACAATTATGTGAAACACTTCATACAGAGTCTATCGATATGATGGTTTTCTTAGGAAATATGAGCAGGCGGTCTTGTGGTCCGCCCAGACCTGAGAGACTGAGAAACCGGCCTCCATACTTCCCTGCGCTTCCGTCGAACGGGAGGTATGTCTTTTACCCCTAAAGCTCCGGGACTGTGGTCTCGAGCCACTGAAGCTTCAGAACCAATCTTTACCCTTTCTTCCTCCGAGTTGTTGCGTGGTTGAATGCCCGTCGCGCAAACCCGCTTCCAACGCCCCTCGTTTTCTCACCGCTACCATGTCTTTTGTGCCTCTTACACCAGGCTTTGACGTAGCAGCTACCTCAAACTTGACTTCCCGAATAGCCTGGCGTTCAGCCTCGCGTGCAGACCTCTCTGCTTTTAATTTTGCTGCGGCCTCCCGTTTCTCAGCTCGCTTTGCCTCGCGCTCCGCAGCACGCTCTGTCTTCTCTCGAGAACGCTGCTCTCGCAAGGCCTGACGCATTGCAGCCCGCTGTTTTTCTTCTCGGCAGATTCTCGAGCCTTTTCTTCACGTGATATGGCTACCTGGAGTCGACGATCTTCAATGGCTTGCTTGCGCTGCTCGTCGGCCTGTGCCTTGTCCGTCTGACGTCGCCGCGCCAGTTCCACCTTGGCTGGACTGAAAAAGACCGGCTGGCCACCACTTTCTTCTGGATTGAAAAGGCCCAAGGCCTTTCTGCGTTTCACTTTTTTATGTGCAAGTTTGAGCGCTTCCTGTAGATCTCGATTTTCGTGTTGTACGAGCTCATATTGTGTCGCCAGTTTCTCTGATGCTCGGGAGAGCGCTGTGACTCGGGAGTCCATCAGCCCTTCCTTGCGGAGACGGCGGGTAATGCGCCGAATAGCCCGAAGAGAGCCTGGAGTCTTCATCGCCCTTTCCTCAGATGCAGTTTGTGGGGGTGTCACATCACTGCTGTGGCTAATCTTGGACAATACTTTGCCGGGGTCGAGTGGATGGATTCCTGTGGCCCGCCAACCAGCCTCGATATTTTTGGCCGTAAATGCCTGGTTCCACGCATCACGAAAGAGTGGCCAAAAGTTCCGTTTGTTAAGGCGAATTAACCCCCATCCAATGGACATCAGCTGGTCGGAACCTTGAGCATAATAGGTGGAGAGTGCGGAAAACAGGCCAACATCGAGTGGTTGAAGCCGATGAGTTGAGTGCGATGGCAACACAGCAATGAGAATTCGATTCCGATCGGCATAGTCAATGAATTTCAGGTTAATGTGACTATTATGACCGTCTAAAATTAAGAGACGGTAGGCACGACCAGCCTTTTGCTTCGTATGGCATTCAAATAAGCGCTGAAGCCAGTGTAAACCCAGTGCGTCACAACTCCAGCCGTTTTCCGTACTGGCGAAGAAGGCTACTTCGCTGGAATGGTCAAAATCTTCAAGCCAAGTATCTTGGAAGTCTTTTGACTCCCCTTTGTAAATGAGGGCCGGTGGCAGGAACGAATAATCTGCACATATGGCAGCGATCAGCGTGATGAACTCCCGGTTCCCGTCTTGGCTTGCCCCGACCAGTTTTCCGCGCCTGAGGGCTTCTCGGGGGACAACTCGCTTGGCAGAGCGAGAGAGACCAATTTGGAATCCCTTCTCGTCAAAATTATAAACATTTGAGGGACTGATGTTGTACTTTTCGATCTTTTCGCGGAGCTAGTTGGATTCGGTCAGAAATGGCGACTTTACGGCATTTGACCGAGTATTGTCGGCAGTATACCCTTGAAATGACGATAAAAGCAGTCTTACTAAATTGAAGAAGTTTTGAAATGCCTGGAATTATCAGCAGCCTTCCGCTGATGATCTATGGTGCGCAAATACAAGCTCGAAAGACGGTCATGGTGTCGCTTGCGGAAGCGGCTCACCCAGTTGACACCAAGCTCTGTCCCTGCGATTTCCTCGGCGATATTCTTCAACATCTGAGGGTAGGCGGGATACCACGGTCGGTCAGCTTATTGACGTGCCCAATAAGAATCTCCTCCTGCGCGCTGGTGAGTTTCTGTCGCGAGTAAGAGTTCGCGTCGTGATTTGAGGCTGTTTTGCCTTTGAAGCGGCGCCACAGCGTGGATTTGTCGATATTGTATTTCCTCGCGGTCTCTGCATATTTAGGGCGATCTTGGGATTGCAGTTCTATAATTGCCTCTGCAATACGAGTGTTGTGGTCCATATCGCGTCAATTTGAAGAAGACGCGTCAGGTGTTGAACATTGTTGCATGACCTAGTGCGTTGCATGACGCAGTGGGGTACGTTATGGAAAACCACCCTGATCCATCACTAATATGGCATTTCAAACTGCCACGACCTAAAATATAGGCTAACTGTGTGAATAGGGGAATCAGACTGTTGGAGGCTGATATACTCTGTGTGACAGTTTATGAGCCTGGATCTGATCAACCAGGGCTGCGTTGTCTTTTTGTCAGTCGGAAATGGACTGCGGAGGTATGTCGTACTTTTGAGCGGCGCGATACTGCGAAAAGACGTTGTTTGTGATTTACGATATGACAATTGCCTTTTCCTCCTCTGCGTAGACACGTCTAGGCCGTTTTAAGGTCAATTTGGACATGTGGTGGAGGGATAATGAGAATAATCATCGTCGGGAGGGAGAGGAAGATTACGTTGCTGAATGGTAATTTCGCGTGCAACGTTCACACAGACCACAACGCCCTGTACAAGCATTCAACCGGCGAAAAGTAGAAATCAGTCAATTCTCTATCTGCTCCAAGTGACGGCTTGCAAATATCTTCAAAGTTGGCTGGAATCGGTGTAAGTGAAATGGTAGACTTTTAGTGGAGTTTTTAATTACGCTACCGAAAGAGGGGTGGGGATGGTAGCAATCAACCAGCGTGACAATGCTCTAGGGCACATAATGTCACAACGAGCCCAGCCTGTAGGCATCACTACACAAGTTCCATCAGAGTCTTAGATTTGGTATATCTCATCATGGCGTACCAGCTCCTATTTCCTCGTGACAATTTACGAGCATCTACAGGGTAAATGTCCAATACTGCAACATTAGACACCATGTTGGAGCATCGAGAACGGTCCGGTCCGCCAACTGCAGCCTGCCCTCGATCATTTGCTGCGTCATGGTCCATCTCTACCTTGAGTTAAGTAGCTGACCCGCTTCCGAGTTCCGACATTTTTTTTAGCTCATCAACAATTTGAGGAGGCGCAGCGTAGTTGACATTATAAAAGACATCACTCTCCCGCTTGAAAGAGAATATATATTCAAGTTATAGTGCCCAGCTCTAAAGCAAAGGCCAACAAGCATCATTTATAGAAATTACGAGTCGATCAACGCTGTCGCATTCAGGATGCGTATAATGAAATGCGCGGTTGATAAGCGATGTCATCGAACTTTCTAGATAACATTACAAAAGCACCCTGGGTGGCAAGTGGCAATTCGCCACCGCAAGGCAGTCATATTCCCTCAGGACTATAAGGAGACAGAACTTCTCACATTCATTTTAGATAGACGACAATGAACAGATTGACTCTTACCCTCATTTTATTGCGAGAGTTATGAGCCCGGTTGGCCCTTAGTTGCGCCATCGGATTCTCTTGCACCTACGCTTTGGCACAAATCGTCTCCACGAAGAGCGACAGCGCCAGTTTTTGAGATCTACGCCCTTGAAGGTGTACAAGCTCAGTCTATCGAGATCTACGTCCACGAAGACGTACAAGCTCAGTCTATCGACTACCATCAGCACTCAGGATGGAGTCACACAAGGAAGCGTCCATCGATTCGTCCCGGGTCAAGCTTAACGGCCCGTCAGACTGGAAACAGTGGATAAGCGTTATTCAAAAATTCGCCATTGCGCACGGAATCTGGGACTTTGTCGACCCAAGTCGACCCCTCAACCCGGCTCCACGGGAACCACGGAGACCGGAACCATCAGATCTGCAGGATGAGGCAACACTCATAACCCTCAATCCTGACAAGATCAAAACTTTTGAGCTTCTGACTTCCCAGTACCGTCATGAGTACTCGATCTTTAAGGCACGACAGAAGGCTCTAGCAAGCCTACAGGAACATATCGTCAAGACCTGTGGGAACTATTACAACACCATTGCCTACGAACATGACGTTGCAAAGGAACTTAGGGTCCTCAAGCAGAGGATTCAGCCTACCAGCTGGGCACAAGAACAAGACGTCCTTGACCGATTTCATTCCACGTTGAGGTCGCCCGACAGGACAAAGATTTCGGATTGGGTCACAAAGTGGCACCAAGTCCTCACCGAAGCCCAACAGCTCGGTATCCCCGACGCCCAAGGCCTCAGACCGACTCGGCTGTTCCTTAAGGCAGTTTCGGGAGTAAACCCCACGTTTTCTCATTACTGGCTCAACAAAATGGAAGACGAAGCCCGTGGCATCGATCCACTCTGGCAAGGTCGATTTCCAGACGGCATTGAGATCAGTACCATTTTTGAGAGGGCT